TTAATGCAGAAAGTGTCAATAAAATGAAGCGTTAAAGATCGGTAAATATACGGAAACATAATCAGAAATAATGGGCTTTTCAGGCAGGGCAAGAAATGAACAAAGAGCAAAGGCATGGTGAAGAGAAATCTCAAGAAGCATTTAGGTAACAGGAAAGAGCTTATTTCCACTGGAACGGGAGTTTTTGAGGCTGTATAGTGGGAGGTAGATAGAAAGTTAGAGGTTTCACAAATTGCTGAACTTGAATACCAGGTTTATTTGGTAGACAATGGCAAGTCCGTGTACACTTTCTATATAATCAGATCTATTCTGTGTTATGCCTATTATTAAATCTATTTATAAATCTATTCTTTTGTCAATAGGTATTAGTGTACAGATGAGTGGTGTGAGACCAGAGGCAAGGAGAGCACTCGGCAGATGTATGCAGCTGACCTGGAGAAAAGACTCAGGGACTGTTCTGTATATTTGGGGGGGGGGGGCGGGCACTAAGCAGAGGTCACATACAACAGAGGCTGGAGGGGAAGAACCAGTCAACTTGGGTTAATGAATAGTTTCTCAAAGGTGACCCTTAAGTGATTTGGCAGGACAGACTCTGAAAATGACTGCATTTTTTTTAATGGCAAATGCAGGGGAAGCAGGAATGAGCACCATTTTTGACATACTGAGCTTAATATGCCATGTGAATGTGTCAGGCAATCCATTTATAATGTTCATGAGACTTGGAGTTGTTCCTGGAGTTGTCTATCTGCATAATGATGAAAGACGAAGACTATGGGGGACTGAACTGATGAAGAGACTCCCTTTTCTGTTCCCATTACAAACATGTGGATATAACCAATTTTAAAACATAAAACTAAACTCAGAAAAGAAAGTCCTCAAATTTCATCAGAGAAAGTGTGGTAAGCATGCAGGTTGATGCCACTAACACCTGGGGGTGTCTATTTCAGATTCCCATAATCCCTAGTGGCTTGAAAACAGAATTTTAATTTCTACATGAGGAAAGATAGATGTTCTACTAGAACATGCATTTTAAAGTGATTATTCTTTTTTTTAATGTTTATATTTATTTTTGAGAGTGAGAGTGAGCATGAGCAGGAGCAGAGAGAGGGGGTGACACAGAATCTGAAGCAGGCTCTAGGCTCTGAGCTGTCAGCAGAGAGCCAGATGCAGGGATCAAACCCACAAACTGTTGAGATCATGACCAGAGCCGAGGTCGGACACTTAACCGACTGAGCCACCCAGGCGCTCCATATTCTTGAAGCCTGGAATCACCTCTTTGCCAATGCAAAGTCACTGGAACTTGTGGAATATTATGGAAACCCCAATTAAGAAATTAAAGTATAAATTTGTCCAAGAACTGGTAAAATCCATTGGGTAGTGGCGAAAGGAAGTCAGATCTTGTTTACAGGGACATTTGAGTAATTCAAAAGTCTCATGGAACTCCTACAGAAACTAAATCACTATGAAAAGATACAGTAAAAATTACAAACCACATGACAATACACACTACCCTAGGAAAGAAAAGTAAAAAGAAAAAGCCAGAAAACTCTAATGGAAAAAAAGGAAATAGAGCAATCTGAATATTTTATAAATTAACCCCTTAAAATACAGAAAAAAGGAAGAACATAAAAGAACAGATCTTTATGGAAATGATGAAGATTTTACAAAAACATATTTCTTGAAATGAAAAATAGATTTATTAAAGGAAAACAATTGCATTCAACTGCAGATTACATACAGTTGAAAGGAGGATTGATGACTAGAAGTAGTATTTAAGGAAATTGCAACAATAAAACAGATAACAAAATAATAGAACTTTTGGAAGTGAGGTTAAGAGAGAGTGACTAACAGAATTTTCAGAAGGAGAAAGCAGGGAAAATAAATGTTAGACATAGATTTGATGAACTAGTATTTTGAAGATTTTCTAGATTTGAAGAAAAACATCATTGTTAATATTAAAGATGTATAGAGTCCTGACATTCTCATGGTAAAATGCAGGATATTAGATATAAACAGAGAATCCTAAAAATAGAGAACAAATTACTTTTAAATTGCTATAACAGAATCACCATTAAACAGAAAAACTCTCTTCAGCAAAACTGATACCAGGCTAGTGAAATATGTTCAAAATGGCTGAATAACTGTTCACATAGAATTTTATACCCAACCAAACTATTAAACATTAATGAAGGTGAAGTAAAATTATTTGGTGACAAAATAGTCTGCAAAACTTTACCATTGCTGAAAGAACTACTAACGGGTGTAGTTCAGTAAAAAGGACATTGAACCAGAGGTAAGAATTAAGATAAAATAAGAAATGGTGAGGTTGCAATTGGGGCCTTAAGCACAGTAGAAATGATTCAAGACAGGTCTGTGAGAAGTTGAACTATCCTCCAATTAAAAATAGATAAAAAGTGCTGTGGCATAGTAGTGAGATTCTTGAGACTAAATACTCTCAAATATGTGTATTAGCACTTAATACACAAGGGAATCAATCAGGCAATCCAGGGGAGGTAGTATTGCTAATGTTTCAGTGGTTTTCAATTTTGACAAGTTTCTAAATGGAACTTTAGAAATCATTTTGAAATATTGGTGGTTGAATTTAATTCCCAAGGTTTGTGATATAATTGGTGGAGTGTGTCCTAACCATTAGGGTTTTGGTTTTTAAACTCCCCAGGCAAGTTTGAGAACCACTCTAATAGATTATTAGAGAAGAGCAGAAATCTAGAAATTGACTTTAGCCACTATTCAAAGCAGACAGTATAGACTATTTTTACCATGGTGGAGGCTATTTTATCCTCATGAAAATGTTTAATTTTTTTACCAGTAGTAAGCTTTTTCTGTAAAAGACTAGATAATAATATTTTAGGTTTCGTGGGTCAGATCATGTCTGTGCTACAAGTCAACTCTGCTCTTACAGTGCAGAAATAGCCATGGACAATGGGTAAGCAGATTGGCATGGTGGTGTTTGAATAACATTTTACTTGCAAAAGACTAATGAGCAAGATTTGGCCTGTGGGTCTTCATTTACCAACATATGCTTATAGGATATTAAAGTAAGTTAAGTAACATAGATGAGAACCATCACATTTATTTTGGAGAACGTAGCCCCCTCTGTGAATAGGTGAAAGAAGTGGCCACTCACAAGAATGGAGAAGTATGTAGGAAGATGAAATGCAGTGGACTGTGGAGACCAGACAAACCATAGGGCTGGGAAGGAATCTGAGGGGAAACTTGAGTAAATGAAAATGTAGGTGATGTTACCAAGGGGGAGCTATGGCCAGATAGTAAGTTAAGAATGCAGGAGAGGTTGGTTTCTTTATATCATTCTGTATTTGTTTTTTTTTCCCCCTTACTTTGTTTTTCATATTTAGAGGGATGGCATGTAAGTAGATGGCTTGGATTTTGTATTCAATCATATCTAGATATTTTGGGTTCATAATAAAGTAATTACATATATTTATTTATCTATAATCATTACATCTGAAATGAAAATGTTCTTTTTCATCTTTAACCACCTTTTTTCAAGTTATTACATTTATAGAACATTTTCTTTCCATATATTGTTTAAATTTATATAGGTTATACAGACAAGATTAAATTATAGTCATTATAAGAGCAGAGAAATGATTTACTGCAAAGCTTTCAAATTTTATTTGAATCATCCTTTTTATCCCTCTGTCCTCATCAGTTGCTTACCTGACTTATTGAATTGCTTATTTAATTCCAAAGCACAACTTTTATTCACATTTTAATAGTTTTGAAATTACAGTTTTAGAATCGATATGTATTGAATCATTGAATATATATATAATACATATACAATTGTAATGTGTGTGTGTGTATATATATATATGTATAACACACACAATGTATATATTTTTTACTCCAAACCCTGTTATTTAAATTTATAGTATATCTTATAATGGACAACATCTTAGAATCTAGGAAATATGTTATTATCTTTTGTCTTGGTTTTGCCTCTACCTTTTCACTGGCAACCACTCCCAGAGTTCCTAAAGAATTAACATTTCTGGGAAACTACTCTGATCTTGTCACTATGTTACCTAATAATTTTGAGTGATCTCAAAGTTCAGACTCCTTGGCGTGGCATTCAAGGGCCTTATTATCTAAAGCCTGTTATATTCTGGCTCAGAGAATTGGATCTCCAGCCTCATTTCCTACCAACCCTCTCACTCATGTGAATTGCTTCATCCCTGACAATCAGACACATGATGCATTATTTTAATACAAGTGTTGTAAAAATCTCTGAGGAAAGTTTAATAAAATGGGATTGGTGCTGAGCTGAAAATAGCTAAAACAGGCTTTTTCTGAAGCTTAATACTTTATGATGGAAAAGTATCATTATCATTTCAGGAAAGGCTTGACTTTTTGTATTTGAGTAAATTGTTGAAGAAGCTTATGGAGTATCTTTACATGGAGCCTTTTAAACATAGACTACACACTCTTCTGTATGGGATGATTTAGGTATACCCAAGAGATAAACAAGATGAACTTTGAGTCTGTGGCCAGCTCTAGGAGTTTTGGGGTGATTAATGACTGTATCTAAGTGAGGCCAAAAGATCCAGATGGGAGTGAAGAGAAATTCAGTTAGTCATCTACCCGCTATTTCTCTATCATTCCAAAGAACTGGATATTTAACAGTTGAATGTATGTACTTATTTAAATAAAACTGTAGTTCACTGGTATTTTCTGCTTTGAATGTTCATATCCTGCTACAGTATAAATAATTCCACAAGATAAACACCTGTTATTCCCATCTGCCATCAAATAACATGTATCAAGTTGTCATTTTAGAGAAAAATTGAGTGAAATTAAAAATGTTCCAAGGCTGTTTTTCTTTGTTCTAAGAATAATAATGAAGGACTATTGTAAAAAAATATTTTGATGACTTTTTAGCTATTTTTTTGTAAAATGGCAATTAGGAAATGATTTAATCATCATCTATATATTTATATGGCTCTATATTTTAAATTTAGGTATGTGTCTTGTGCCCTGGGCTGTCCGTATGAAGGAAACATCACACCACAAAAAGTGACAGAAGTAAGATACTCCTGTGGTTTTCTGGTTGTTGGTAAAATGATGTTTGTTTGTTTGTTTGTTTGTTTGTTTGAAGAGGGCTCTTCTCCTTACTATTTATTGAGTTTTCTCATATGGGTGCTCAAAGATGAAAGAATAAAAATGCCTGTTTGGTTTTTATGTGGGTAGAACTCAGTGACCTTTCCTCATTCCATCAGAATGTCAGGGGAGATTGTACACACACACTTAAATTTCACTTTGGTTGGTCAGGTAGCATCCCTGTGTTTTGGGCATTTGTATCAGAGTATATACACTGCTTTTTCCGTACACTGCGTTCATTCCTTTGAGATCCTACACTTAACTCCTGAGACTCAAGTTCCTTCTATTAGAAAGCAGTTTTTCAGCAATATATACTAGTCGTTAAAGGTGACATTGTAAGAAAATCAGAATTTAGGCAGGATAAACCTTCAGTTTGGATAAAGCATTTCCTCTTTTGTGCCTTCATCTGACTTTTGAAATTTACAGATTTTTCAAATGAGTGCTATCCCAGTCTATTATTTAAGGAAGACCTTTGCACACAGAGGCAGATATACTATAAAATAAAGAAGCTTAAATATTTTAGTCCTTCACCTGTATGGGACCCTTCTAAGACTCCGTTATAAATTTGCATTCACAATTATGTATTGTTTTCTTAAAGAACTCTTCCAAAATGATATAACTTCAGGCTCCACAAAAACTAGGCTCCAACTCTACCTGTCCACTGATTTCCTTGCTTTTCTGCCTTTTGCCTCATGGATGGGGTCTGTGGATGGACCACACATACCCTCAGGCTCTCCATTACTGCACCAGAATGCCTGAGGAGTTGCCAAAGAGAGCTGGATAACAGGGAGTCTGAAGCATTAGGAATTCATGATCAGCAACCTTTTAATATCCAGCATAAAGAAACCTTGCATAGGTGCCTCCATTTATGAACCAGAAATATTAAGTGACTCTACCAATCACAGAAGTACTTAGTGACGGAGCTGAAAGTATTCCTGATATCTCTTGACCTCTAATGCCTAGAGAAAAACTACTTCTAAAGTAAATTTGTAAATCTTCTGTTTGATTAAAGGGTTGAGAAAGTAAGCCTCTCATAATTGAAATTGTAGCTTGTAATTTCATAACTGAACATGGAAAGAGTTATGATTCTAAGGCAAGCTTGAATATTAGAAAAAGATAATTATAATAATGTCTTTTAAACTTTTATATAATACTTGGGATTTAATAACCAAGGAAAAGGACCAGAAAACTAAGATCTGTGTTTTCCGTGAATACATAACTGATCTTAGTCATAACTTTTACTTGTAGGTGATGTTTGCTAAGGAATAACAGGGTTTGATTTTTTTTTTTTCCTTTTTTTTTTTTTTTTTTTTTTTTTTTTTTTTCTTTTCTTTTCCAATAGGTATCTAAGAGATTGTATGGCATGGGCTGTTATGAGATCTCTCTAGGTGACACATTTGGAGTGGGAATTCCAGGAAGCATGAGAAGAATGTTGGAGAATGTCATGAAAGAAATCCCACCAAGTGCGCTTGCTGTTCACTGTCATGACACATACGGACAAGCCTTAGCAAATATCCTTACGGCCCTTCAGGTATTTTGCATTATTTGTGTGTAAGTGTAAAATGGGTATCCTTAGTGATAATATAAACATGTTCAAGGCTTAGTGAGATAATATTTACAGATTGCTATGAGTATAATATTTAAACAGTCTACCACATGACAAGTACTCAGGAAATATCTGTATATTACACATTAATTTTTAGGGCCATGATATTGCCTATTGGTTTGAGTTGATAAAATTTGTTCTTTCTCACTGAAGTGTAGTTCAATATTATTTTAATTTTAGGTGCAACATGGTAATTCAATAAGTATATACATGATCACCAGAGTCCATGTTATTACCCTCTGCACCATACAAACTTCCTACAATATTGATGATATTCCATAACCGTTTCATGCTTGTGACTTTGTTTTATAACTGGAAGTTTGTACCTCTTAGTACCCTTCATCTATTTCACACATTCCTCCCACCCTACTCCCTCTGGAAACCAAGAGTTTGTTCTCTGTATTTGTGAGTCTATTTCTGCTTTTTCTCATTGTTTTTGTTTTTAGATTCCAAATATAAGAGAAATCATGTAGTATTTATCTTTTCCTGTCAGGCTTATTTCACTTAGTGTAATACCCTTTAGGTCCATCCATGTTGTTGCAAGTGGCAAGATTTCATTCTTAGGGCTGAGGAATACCACATTGTGTGTATATGTACCAAATCTTCTTTAGTCTTTCATCTGTTGATGGACACATAGAGCTTTACTATCTTGGTTATTGTAAATAATGCTACCACAGAATGGATAGGTGTGTATATCTTTTTGAATTAGTGGTTTTTTTTTTTTTTTGTCTTCAGGTAAATGCTAAAAGTTGAAATATTGGGTTGTATCATATTTCTATTTTAAATTTTTTGAGGAAATTCTATACCGTTTTGCACAGTGGCTGCACCAGTATACCTTTCTGCCAGCAGTGCATGAGAGTTCTTTTTTCTCCACATCCTCACTGACACTTGGTGTTTCTTGTCTTTTTGATACTAGCGATTCTGACAGGTGTGAGCCAATATCTCATTATGGTTTTGATTTGTATTTCCCTGATGATTAATCATATTGAGGATCTTTTCATGTGTCTGTTGGCCATCTGTAGTCTTCTTTAAAAAAATATTCAGGTCCTCTTCCTATTTTTAATTCGATTTCTTTGGTGTTAAATTGTATAAGTTCTTAATATATTTTGGATATTATCCCCTTATTAGATACATCATTTGCAAATATCTCCTCCCACCTAGTAGGTTACATTTTGGTTTTGTTGATGGTTTCCTTCACTGTGCAAAAGCTTTTCATGTTGGTATAGTTCCAATAGTTTAATTTTGTTTTTGTTCCCTGTGCCTGAGTAGACATGTAGAGAATGTTACTGAGGCCAATATCTAAGAGATTACTGCCTATGTTTTATTTTAAGAGTTTTAGGGTTTCAGGTCTCACATTTACATTTTTAATCTATTTTGAGTTTATTTTTGTGTATTGTATAAGTGAGCCAGTTCCATTCTTTTGCATATAACGGTCCATTTTTCCAAACACCTTTATTAAACAGACTATTGTATATCCTTGACTTCTTTTGTATTTTTTGAAGTCCTTTGCCATAGATGAATTAACCATTAAATTATGGGTTTATTTCTGAGCTCTCTATCCTGTTCTCTTGACCAATCTATTTTTGTGCCAGGACCACTCTATTTTAATCACTTAAGCTTTGTGGTATATTTTGAAATCTAGAATTGTGAGACCTCTGGATTTTTCTTTTTTCTCAAGATTGCTTTGGCTATTCGGGGTGTTTTATGCCTCCCTACAAATATTAGGATTGTTGTTCTAGTTATGTGAAAGATGCTGTTAGTATTTTGATAAGGATTGCATTGAATCTTCTGATTACTATGGGTTGTATGGACAGTTTAATGATATTCTTTCAATCCATGAGCATGATATAGCTTTGTATTTCTTTCTGTCATTTTCAGTTTCTTCCATTAATGACTTACAGATTTCAAATGGCAGGTCTTTCACCTGCTTGGTTAAATTTATTGCTAAGTATTTTATACTTATTGATGCAATTATTAATGGGATTGCGTTCTTAATTTTTCTTCCTGCCACTTTGTTATCACTATGTAGAAATGAAATAGATTTCTCGCTATTAATTTTCTATCCTACAACATTACTTAATTCATTTTGTAGTTCTAACAGTGTTTTGGGTGTAGACTTTAGAGTCTTACACAGAGTTCACGTCCTTGCAAATAGTGACAGTTTGACTTCTTCCATAACAGTTTGGATTTTTTTTGTCTGATTGCTGAAGCTAAGATTTTTAGTACTATATTGAATAAAACTGGTGACGTTGGATATCCTTGTCTCATTCCTGATCTTGATGGAGATACATTCACTTTTTACCATAAAGTATGTTAACTGTGGGTTTTTCATATGTGGCCTTTAATATGTATAGGAATGTTGCCTTTAGACTCACTTTTTTGAGAGTTTTTATTAAGTGCTATGGAATTTTGTCAGGTGCTTTATCTGCATCTATTGAGATGAACATAAGATTTGTATTCTTCATGGTGTTAATGTGGTGGATCAGGTATGTTGATTGGCAGATATGGACCCATCCTTGCATCCCTGGAATAAATTGCACTTGATTATGGTGAATGATTCTTAATGTATTATTGATGTGGTTTGATAATATGTTGTTGAGGATTTTGCATCTATGTTCATCAGCGACACTGGCCTGTAATTCTCTAATTGATGGTGTATTTATCTGACTTTTAGATCTCTGTTTTGTTTAACAAGTTTTTCTGATGTTGTAGGCATCCTTTGTAAAGACCATCTTTTTTTAAACCAAGTACATTATTTAAAACTTTTTTGATGTTCATTTAGTTTTGGGAGAGAGACAGAACCAGGGAGGGACAGAGGGAGAGAGAGGGACAGAGAGGGACAGAGAGGGAGGGAGGGAGAGAGAGAGAGAGAGAGACAGAATTTTAAATAGGCTCCGGGCTCTGAGCTTTCATCACACAGCCTGATGCGGGGCTTGAATTCACAAGTGTTGAGATCACGACTGAGCTGAAGTCAGATGCCTAACTGACTGAGCTACTCAGGCACTCCACAAGATTATCAAATTGAAGACATTTGGAAATTTGGATGATTAAAAATTACTTACTAATTTCTAATAACTTAGTTATTTTGAATGTATTTATTTAAAACACTGCATACAAATAGTGTTTGTGGATATATCTTAAAATTAACATTAGTTTGTTAAATTTAGATAAAAACAGGTTTGTGTGATGTTTTTAGAACCCATGATTTGGACAAAATAAGACTGTATCAAAACTTGCTAGTGAGGCTGAAAATCCGTATGTTAAACTTTATGTCATGGCCCTAAAGTGTACAGTTGTTTGGCAGAAGTTAAAAAACAACGTGAAGATCAAGCCCTACAAAGGGCTTATTTTGACTTTGTAGCATATGTGCACAAATCCATGTTTATTCTCTGGAAGCAGGCAAGGAACACTGTATTGAATTAGAACAGAAAATGATATCCCATGGACTTTTGGGCGTGGGAATTTTTACAATTTCCCCATCCTAGGTATTCTAGTTTCTAAAACAATAGAGAACTAGGGATCACTGCAGGAGTCTGTGCTCAGCCTCAACTGTAACTTATTAAGCGCTCCTTCCCAGCCAGCTCCTGAAGACATCTGCCTCCCCTACCCCCTCCAACTTTCTATATGGATATTCCCTCTCTCTTTCTCTCTCTCCTCTCTCTTCCCTCACTTCTCTTCTTCCCTTCCCCTTTGCTTTCTCATTCCTCTCTATGGATATTTCTTCCATAAATGGTAACATTTTGGGTAAGAGTTTATTTGTATAGCCCATTTACTATATAATGGATGATGATTTAGTTCTTTGGGATTTAGGGCTATAGTGCAAAATCTGAGAACCCAAACTTCTGCTTCTGGAAACTACCTCTTGAAAATGCCCAGATCCAAAATATTGCTGAAACCCTAATGTGATTTAATGGTTAACAAGGCCTATTTGAGAAAATCATGTGTAAAATTGGATATAAAACTGAGAAAAGTAACCCCTAGTAGGTGTGTTAACTATCTGTGTGTGTGTGTGTGTGTGTGTGTGTGTGTGTGCACGTGCCAGTGTGTGAAAAGAATAGTTCAAACAGATGAAACACCACTTGGGCAAAAGGCCTTGGGAGAGGGGAAGATTATGCCTGAGGAACTGAGAGAAGATAAATAAATTTATACGAGAAGCTAAGATTTATGATATATGCTGAATTAATTGACAAGCATCTACTTGCAAAGAGTTGAGGACTGAAATCTTGGGGCTTTTTCCCAACCTGAAACAGCCATACACAGTTTTGGGAAATAATCCTGGTCCCAAGTAAGAAGGAAAACACAGATGAGAACCTATATAAGATAGGTTCTCAAAGGGTGAACCAGCAAAAATTCCTCCTCATGATAGGAGAAGGCTAGAGTATTCATTCTCATGGCTTTGGCTATGTGTAGAGGAGAAGTACCAAGTCCATCTTTATACTTCAAAACCTTTTGTCAATACCTGTGTGGATTCAGCGTTCAAATTCACATCACTTGCGCAATGAAAGATCCAGGCCGATAAATTATTTTTAAATAGTTGTGGGTTAGTGGCACCTTCAGGTGCCAGCTGTAATTTAATTTTCTTCTGAAAGAACACATCTTCAACGTAAGCTGAACTATTTTTGGTGTGCATGTGTGTGTGTTTATGTATTTGTGTGTGTGTGTGTGTGTCTTGTGTCAGGGGAGGAAAAGGGCAAAGAGGGTGGGTATTCTCTTCAGCAGCTCCTGTGGCACTTATTAGGAAATGTATCTACCAGTGTCTATAAATGTTTTCTATTCTTGTACTATGTGCCTAAGCACCAGGCAAATATGGGAGGTAGAACGGCAGAATGGAGGCAGGGAACCGGGAAAGCAGTAGTGTATTTCCAGCTTGGTCTTACATTGCCCCATAGCTTAAGTTGTAGTCAGCATGTAAATAGGTAGAGAGG